GGAAAAAAAAAAATAAATTGTATCCACAAAAAATGAAAAATCCACATTTTTAACTGAAAACGCTGAAAAAAAATTCACATTTTTAGCTGGAAACGGTGAAGAAAAATCGCATTTTTAGCTGAAAAAATTCACAGTTTTAGCGGGAAAGTGAAAAAAAAAATCAATTTTTTATCTAGAAAAGCTGAAAAAATTTGCCATTTTTTATCTGGAAAAGGTGAGAAAGATTCCTATTTTTAGCTGGCACAGTGAAAAAAAAATCCATTGTTATCCAGAAAAATCTGAAAAAAATTTGCCATTTTTAATCTTGAAAAGCTGAAAAAAATTCACATTTTTAGCTGCAAAATCTAAAGAAAAATGGTTGCCATTTTTATTAAAAAATCTGAAAAAAATTGCCGCTTGTTTATCTGGAAAAGGTGAGAAAAATTCTCATTTTTACCTGGAAAAGCTGAAAAAAAATCCTGGTTTTATCTAGAAAAGCTTAAAAAAATTTCCCATTTTTAGCTGGAAAAGCTGAGAAAAAATTTCCCATTTTTGTCTGGAAAATCTAAAGAAAATGGTTGCCATTTTTTATTAAAAAATCTGAAAAAATTGCCACTTTTTATCTGGAAAAGGTGAGAAAAATTCACATTTTTAGCTGGGAAAGTAAAAAAAAAATCCCATTTTTAGCTGGAAAAGCTGAAAAAATTCCCATTTTTATCCAGAAAATATGAAAAAAATTGCCATTTTTTATCTGAAAAGGTAAGAAAAATTCCCATTTTTATCTGAAACCTGAAAATCTTCTTGTTTTTAGCTAGAAAAGCTGCTCATATTTAGTTGAAAATATTAAAAAATACCCTTTTTTTATCCTGAAAATCCGGAAGAAATTGCCATTTTTAATCTGGTAAAGCTGAAAAAAAATCCCATTTTAATCTGGAAAAGCTGAGGGAAAAAAAATCCCATCTTTACCTAGAAAAGCTGAAAAATGTGCCATTTTTACCTAGAGAAATTAAAAAAAAATTCCTCTTTTTATCTGGAAAAGTTAAAAAAAAAAAAAATCCCATTTTTTATCCAGAAAAGATGAAAAAGTTTTAGCCGGAAAAGCAAAAAAATTTTCTGCTTTTATCCACAACATCTGAAAAAAAATTGGACTTTTTACCTGGAAAAGCTGGGAAAACCTCCCATTTTTATTTGGAAATCTTTCTAGGAAAAAAATTTTCTGTTTTTTGGGTCTCTAGGGAAAAATTCCCTTTGGTTTTTGGGGTCTCCTAGGGTAGAATTCCTTGTGATTTTTGGATTTTTCTAGGGAAAAAACCCCATTTTTTGGGGTCTCTCTGGTAAAAACCCCACATTTTTTTGAGCTCTCTAGAAGAAAACCCTCTGTGATTTTGGGATCTCTAGAGAACAATTCCTTGTGGCATTTTGGGAACTTTCTGGGAAAAAAAATCTCTGTTTTTTTGGGGTCTTTAGGGAAAAATTCCCTGTGCGATTTTGGGGCTCTCAGGGTAGAATTCCCTGTGATTTTTTGGGATTTTTCTAGGAAAAACCAAACACTTTTTTGGGTCCTCTCTCTAGTAAAAACCCCACTGATTTTGAGCCATTTCTCGAAGTAAAACCTCCCTAATTTCCTGGGCTTTATAGGAAAACCAACTCCCTATGAATTAATAATGAAATCCATAAAATCACAAATATTTCTGGGGGTTTTTTTGGGGTTTTCTGTGACCACTGAAGGGATTTTTTGCTCCCCAGCCCCGTGTACGAGATGCTGAAGAGGAACCTGAGCCCTGCTGCCCTCCCAGGTAAGGTTGCTCCCCATTCCACAAATGTTGCTCTCACCTGGTAAGTACCAAAAAAAAAAAAAAAAATCACAAAAATTCCAAGAAAATCCCAAATCCAGGAGGAATAAACTGCTCTGAAAAACCTTTGCCAAGGAAATCTCGTTGAGTTTGTGTCTTCTCTGTGTGCCAGGAGCTGTTTGAGTGCTGCCCAAAACCCCAAATTTCAATCCCGAAATCCCCTCCTTGACTGAAATCGATATTTTGATTTTTTTTTCACCTTCAGAGCTGCAATTTTTTTTGCTCTCATCTCATTTTTTTTCTTTATATTTTGATCATTGCCAAAAATTCTGCAATTGAACCTTGCCCAGCTCATGAGGGGAATTCAATTAAACTCAAATCCAAATGGGGAATTTATTGCAAAAAATCAACTCCACTGCCTGAGCTGTGCCACATTTCCCAATTTTGAAACAGAAAAAATGGTTTTAATCTACAACTGTGGAATTTTGTGCCACATTTTCCCATTTTTTAAACCGAAAAAAAAGATTCTTGAATCCTGAAATCCCCTCCTTGACTAAAATCGATATTTTGATTTTTTTTTTTCACCTTCAGAGCTGCAATTTTTTTTGCTCTCATCTCATTTTTTTTATATTTTGATCAAAATTCTGCAGGGTTTTAACCTTGAACTTCCCCAGCTCATGAGGGAATTCAATTAAACTCAAATCCAAATGGGAATTTATTCCCAAAAAAATCAACTCCACTGCCTGAGCTGGGGAATTTTTGTGCCACATTTCCCATTTTTTTAAACAGGTAAATTGGATTTAATCCACGGCTGTGGAATTTCTGCCACATAATCCATTTTTTAAACAGGTAAATCACAATTGGATTTGATCCATAATTGTGGAATTTTTGCCACATTTCCCGTTTTTTAAACAGGTAAAAATGGATTTAACCCACAGCTGTGAACTTTGTGCCACATTTCCCATTTTTCAAACACATAAAATGGATTTAATCCGTAGTTGTGGGATTTGCTGGCCACATTTCCCATTTTTTTTAAAACAGGTAAATTGGATTTAATCCACGGCTGTGGATTTTGTGCCACGTAATCCATTTTTCAAACAGCTAAATCACAATTGGATTTGATCCATAATTGTGGATTTTTTTGCCACCTTTCCCATTTTTTAAATGGAATTTTTTGCCACATTCCCCGTTTTTTTAAACGGGATTTAAACCTTTAGGAGCGCTCAGGCACGTGTGGAAAACTTAAAATTAAACTAAATGAAAATTAAATTCAAATCAAAACCGTGGCCGTTGCTGCCTTGGATTTTTTACAGACGATTCTTTTTTAATTTCGATTTATTTTCCAGCAGAATTTTGAGCTCCATTTGGGTTTTAGGCTGTAGGAGATGTGTGAGTGCTGCTCCCGTCCCAGCTGTGTGTGCAGAGCCGCCCTCGCTCCTTCCCTGCCCTGGGAGTGAGCGGCACCCAGAGCAGGCTGGGCAAGGGAGGGCACAGGAGGGGCCTCGGGCTCTTCTCCTTCTTTCCCTCCCGTTTTCCTTCCTTTCCTGGATCTTTTCCTTCCTTCCTTCCTTCCTTCCTTCCTTCCTTCCGCCACTTTCCGCCACTTCCGCCACTTCCGCCACTCCTTCCTTCCCTCCCTCCCTCCCTCCCTCCCTCCCTCCCTTCCTTCCTTCTTCCTTCCTTCCTTCCTTCCTTCCTTCCTTCCTTCCTTCCTTCCTTCCTTCCTTCCTTCCTTCCTTCCTTCCTCCCTTCCTCCCTCCCTCCCTCCCTCCCCCATTTTCCTTCTTTTCCCACCTCTTTTCCTTCTTTTCCCCTACATTTTCCTTCCTTTCCCGTCTCTTTCCCCTTCTTTTCCTACCTCTTTTCCTTCCTTTTCTCCCCATTTTCCTTCTTTCCTCCCCCATTTTCCTTCATTTCCCAGCTCTTTTCCTTCCTTTCCCTCCCATTTTCCTTTTTTCCCCACCTCTTTTCCTTTTTTTGCCACCCATTTCCTTCTTTCCCCCCCCCTCCATTTTCCTTCCTTTTCTGGATCTTTTCCTTCCTTCTTTTTCCACCTCTTTTCCTTCCTTTTCTCTCAATTTTCCTGCCTCTCCTGGTTCTTTTCCTTCCTTTCCCACCAATTTTCCTTCTTTTCCCGACATTTTCCTTCCTTTCCTGGGTCTTTTCCTTCTTTTCCCCCTCTTTTCCTTCCATTTTCCTTCTTTTTCCACCCATTTTCCTTCTTTCCCCCACATTTTCCTTCCTTTCCATCCCATTTTCCTTTTTTTTCCCACCTCTTTTCCTTTTTTTGCCACCTCTTTTCCTTCTTTCCCCCCCCCCCCATTTTCCTTCCTTTCCTGGATCTTTTCCTTCCCAGCCATTTTCCTTCTTTTCCCCCTATTTTCCTTCCTTTCCCTCCCATTTTCCTTTTTTTTTCCACCTCTTTTCCTTCCTTTTCTCTCAATTTTCCTGCCTCTCTCCTGGTTCTTTTCCTTCCTTTCCCACCAATTTTCCTTCTTTTCCCGACATTTTCCTTCCTTTCCTGGGTCTTTTCCTTCTTTCCCCCCCTCTTCCCTCCCATTTCTCCTTCATTTCCACCTCTTTTCCTTCATTTTCTCCCATTTTCCTGCCTTTTCCTGGCTCTTTTCCTTCCTTTCCCTCCCATTTTCCTTTTTTTTTCCCCACCTTTTTTCCTTAATTTCCCACCCATGTTTCCTTCCTTCCTTCCTTCCTTCCTTCCTTGGCCACTTTCCCAGGTCTGACTCCCCCAGGCTGCATTTAGGATTCCTCACTTCAGGCTGATTTTTCTGGAATTTTCCAGCCCCTGGAGCATTTCCACTCCCTGAAAATCAGATTTTGGAAAGGATTTCTCCCTGTTCCCACCTCCCTGCAGATCCTGGCTCTTGTTTTCCATCAGGGATTAAACCCCAGCAGCTGGAAGGATGAAAAACAGAATAGTCTGAATTAGCTATAGCAAAAAATTATTTTTCCCTAAGTGAAGAATATTCTGAATTTGGCTATTGCAAAAGGAATGATATTTCCCTTTGGGAGAATATTCTGAATTTGGCTATAGCAAAAAAATAGTTTTTTTTCCTTTGGGAAGAATATTCTGAATTTGGGATGGCCATAGCAAAAAATAATTTTTCCTTTTGGGAAGGAATATTCTGATTTAGCTCTAGCAAAAGGAATGCTATTTCCCTTTGGGATGAATATTCTCAATTTGGATGGCTGTAGGAATAAGAATAACTTCCCTGTGGGAAGAATATTCTGAATTTGGCTATAGCAAAAGGATTAATATTTGCCCTTTAGGAAGAATATTCTGAATTCGGCTATAGCGAAAGGAATAATTTTTCCCTTTGGGAAGAATATCCTGAATTTTGGATGGCTATAACAAAAGGAATAATGCTTCCCTTTGGGAACAATATTCTGAATTTGGCTATAGCAAAAATAATTATTTTTTCCCTTAGGGAAGAATATTCTGAATTTGGCCGTAGCAAATAGAATCATTTTTCCCTTAGGGAGGAATATTCTGAATTTGGCAATAGCAAACATAATAATTTTTCCTTAGAGAAGAATTCTGAATTCGGCCATAGCAAGAAGAATAATTTTTCCCTTTGGAAGAACATTCTGAAATTGGCCATAGCAAAAGGAATAATCTTTCCCTTTGGGAAAAACATTCTGAATTTGGGATGGCTGTAGGAATAAGAATAACCTTTCCCTGTGGGAAGAATATTCTGAATTTGGGATGGCTATAACATCCTATTATAAAAGGATTCCTATTATAAAAGGAATAATGTTTTGCTTTGGGAAGAATATTCTGAATTTGGCCATAGCAAGAAGAATACTTTTTCCCTTAGAGAAGAATTCTGCATTTGGCTATAGCAAGAAGAATAATATTTCCCTTTGGGAGGAATATTCTGAATTTGGCTATAGCAAAATAATTATTTTTCCCTTAGGGACAGAATTCTGAACTCAGCCATAGAAGAAGAATCATTTTCCCCTTCAGGGAAGAATTCTGAATTCGGCCATAGCAAGAAGAATAATATTTCCTTTTGAGAAGAATATTCTGAATTTTCCCTCCAGCTCCTTCTCCCCAAATCCCCCCATTCGCCCCGAGCAGCCCAGCCTGCCCTGCAGTGCCCCCAGCAGTGCCCAGCCTGACTGCAGTGCCCCCAGCGGTGCCCAGCCTGCCCTGCAGTGCCCCCAGCGGTGCCCAGCCTGACTGCAGTGCCCCCAGCGGTGCCCAGCCTGACTGCAGTGCCCAGCCTGCCCTGCAGCGCCCCCAGCGGTGCCCCAGCCTGACTGCAGTGCCCCCAGCAGTGCCCAGCCTGACTGCAGTGCCCCCAGCAGTGCCCAGCCCCCAGCGGTGCCCCCAGCGGTGCCCAGCCTGACTGCAGTGCCCCCAGCAGTGCCCAGCCTGACTGCAGTGCCCAGCCTGCCCTGCAGCGCCCCCAGCGGTGCCCAGCCTGACTGCAGTGCCCCCAGCAGTGCCCAGCCTGCCCTGCAGTGCCCCCAGCGGTGCCCAGCCTGACTGCAGTGCCCCCAGCAGTGCCCAGCCTGCCCTGCAGCGCCCCCAGCAGTGCCCAGCCTGACTGCAGTGCCCAGCCTGACTGCAGTGCCCCCAGCGGTGCCCAGCCCCCAGCGGTGCCCCCAGCAGTGCCCAGCCTGCCCTGCAGCGCCCCCAGCGGTGCCCAGCCTGCCCTGCAGTGCCCCCAGCGGTGCCCAGCCCCCAGCGGTGCCCAGCCTGCCCTGCAGTGCCCCCAGCAGTGCCCAGCCTGCCCTGCAGTGCCCCCAGCGGTGCCCAGCCCCCAGCGGTGCCCAGCCTGCCTGGTTGTTTGCCTGCCCCGGCCCCGGTGTGCTGTGAGAGTGGAATTCCAGGGAAGGCTTTTCCTTGTGTTTTGCCTGCCATCTGCAGATGCTGCACAGACTCTCCCAAAGGAGCAGAGCGTCGCTAAGGCCCAGCCCAGACCAGCTGCAGGTAAACCCCACTGCCCCAGTGGGTTCTTTTCTTGTACAGAGCCGCCCCCTTCTCTGTACCTCTGCATGGTGGACTGCCAGAACTTTTGGTTGGTTTTTTTTTTTTTTTTTGTTGGTGTTGTGCTGCTCCTCGCCTTTTTTCCTGAAAAAAAAAATCCCCAAAATGTAAAAAGTTCTGGAATCCACAGAGCAGGACAGAGCCACCCCTTCTCTGTTCTCTCCTCGTGACAGAGTGCCAGTCTCTGAGCGCGTTGTTCTGGGGTGCAGCACTTCCAGCCCTCAGCTTCTCCAGCCCTGTTGTTTCCTGCTTTTTCCCCCCACTCTTTTTATCCCGCTAGGAATTGCCAAAGAAAGAATTCACTGTGCCTAGTTAGGATTTGTTTCCAGCAGCTTTTCAGGCAGAGGTGAAAACCGAGGAAAAATCTTGGTGTCTCCAGAGTTTTTTTCCAGGTGTGGTTTGGGGTGTGATGAAGGCTGGGAGGTGTCAGAGAGTCACAAAATCAACTTTTACTGCATGAAAAACACCAGCTTTAGGGTTTTTTCCAAGCTGAAGATTTTTCCTTGGTTGTTCCTGCTGATTCCAGAGGCTTTAAAGAGAAATATTTTGTAGTTTTTATTCTCAATTATTTCCTCTTCCTACCTGCTTGGTCTCATCCTGCAGCTGGTGCCTGGGGATGGAAGTGCTGCATCCCTTGTCCCTGCAAGCTCTGCTGGGCTCATTCCTGCATTTTCCTTCCTGCAGCTCAGCAGGAGGAAGGATCTGACTCTGGGATCCTGGAGGGTGACAGCAAAACCTCAGCTCCTGCTACCTTCAGTGGCCAAATGTGACGCTTGTGAAGGTGAGGACAAATTTCTGCGTTATCACAAAGTTTGCAAACATGTGGGACACAGAGCAGCAAAATGCTGGAGGAGAGACTCAAAAAAAACCCCTGGTTTGAAACAGAATAATTAAAAATCTTGGTGCTTAAGTTTGGGACTCTGGGATGGTGGAGGGTGACAGCAAAACCTCAGCTCCTGCTACCTCAGTGGCCAAATGTGACGCTTGTGAAGGTGAGGGACGAATTTCTGCGTTATCACAAAGTTTGCAAACATGTGGGACACAGAGCAGCAAAATGCTGGAGGAGAGACTCAAAAAAACCCCTGGTTTGAACAGAATAATTAAAAATCTTGGTGCTTAAGTTTGGGACTCTGGGATGGTGGAGTGACAGCAAACCTCAGCTCCTGCTAGCCTCAGAGGCTAAATGTGACACTTGTGAAAGTGAGGGACAAATTTCTGCATTATCACAATGTTTGCAAACACATGTGGCACACACAGCATCAAAATTCTGGAGGAGAGACTCAAAAAACCCCTGGTTGAAACAGAATAATTAAAAATCTTGGTGCTAAAGATTGGGACTCTGGGATGATGAAGGGTGACAGCAAAACCTCAGCTCCTGCTACCCAGAGCCCAAATGTGACACCTGTGAAGGTGAGGGACAAATTTCTGCATTATCACAATGTTGCAAACATGTGGGACACACAGCATCAAAATGCTGGAGGAGAGACTCAAAAAACCTCTGGTTTGGAATAGAATCATTAAAAATCTTTGTGCTAAAGATTGGGACTCTGGGATGGAGGGTGACAGCAAAACCTCAGCTCCTGCTGCCTCAGAGCCCAAATGGGACACTTGTGAAGGTGAGGGACAAATTTCTGCATTATCACAATGTTTGCAAACGTGGGACACACAGCATCAAAATGCTGGAGGAGAGACTCAAAAAACCCTGGTTTGAAACAGAATAATTAAAAATCTTGGTGCTTAAGTTTGGGACTCTGGGATGGTGGAGGGTGACAGCAAACCTCAGCTCCTGCTGCCTCAGAGGCCAAATGTGACGCTTGTGAAGGTGAGGGACAAATTTCTGCATTATCACAATGTTTGCAAAATGCTGGAGGAGAGACTCAAAAAAAACCCCTGTTTGAAACAGAATAATTAAAAATCTGGTGCTAAAGATTGAGACTCTGGGATGGTGGAGTGACAGCAAAACCTCAGCTCCTGCTGCCTCAGAGCCCAAATGTGACACTTGTGAAGGTGAGGGACAAATTTCTGCATTATCACAGCACTTACAAACCACCTGTGTGGGACACAGAGCAGCAGAATGCTGGAGGACAGAGTTGTGAGACTCAAAACCGCCTGGTTTGGAATAGAATAATTAAAAATCTTGGTGCTAAAAATTGAGAAATTGCGAAGTTCACCACGAGTATTTTCTTAATTTTTGGTTATAAATAAATGCTCTGAATGCAGTGGCAGGTTAAGCCCCAAAATCCCATCTCTCCCTGAGTAATGCCATGAGAAAAAATCTTCCAGACCTTGCTGGAAGGTGTTTAAAATGCCGGAATTTATCTTTGGATCCATCCCCCTTCCCAAGGGAGGCTCCTGAGCTCACAGAACCCAGCCTGGGCTGGCTGCAGTCATTCCCTGCAACCAAGCAGGGAACTGAACAAAAAATGAAATTTTTTTGGGGTGGATCTGTCTCACTTTGACATTTCCCCTGTGGGCTTTTATTGCTGCGTCACTCATGGAGATTTCACAAGTTTTGGGAGCAATTTTCCTGGTTTTCCACGTTTTATTCTCTCTTATCAATGAACCTCAGTTGGAAAGGCAGCTCCTTGTTTCCAGCTCAAATGGGAGAGCTGAAAATTCGCCTGGATTTACAAACCAGATGTGGAAACCTTTGGAAAATTCCCTGGATTTACAAACCATGGTTCAGCCTTGGCAACTCCAGGCCCTGGAGGAGGGAATTCCAAGGTGATCCTGGAATTCTCAGTTTGGGATCCCAGGCTGGAGCACGGGGAGGATGGATCCCGCTTCTTGGGAATCCAGGAGCTGCAAACAGAATTCCAACCAGTCCTTTCTGCATTTTAAGTCACTCCAGAAATCCCCTCAGGGTTGGCTGGGGAAATGTTTGTGTTTCTGTGGTGAAACTTTAATTTAAACTCAGCCTGTCCCAGCACAGGGCACTGGGAACACTGGGATGTTCCTGACTTTTACAGGGATTTTTGCCAGATGGGACATCCAAACCCCAGAGCTCTCCTCATGCAAGGAGTCAAAAAATCAGATTTCAGCCCAATATTTTTCTGTGCTGGTGTCTCTTACCCAATGACTTGGACTGTGCTTGGCTCTTGCAGACAGTGATTTGATAGAAAACCTCTCCAAAAGCAAAAAGCCCAAGCTGGACCTGGTTTTTGAGGAATGGGATGTGGCTGGGCTGCCGTGGTGGTTTTTAGGGAATCTCAGAAGCAATTACAAATCCAGGAGTAACGGATCCACGGATATCAGACTAACCAGGTGTGTGAAAGATTGTCTTCTTTGTCTCCTCTTTTGGCTATCAAGGAAATCAAATATTCAGTTTTTTTCTCCCTTTTCCTTTCCCACTCCACGATTTCCAGCCTTTTTCCCACTCTGGGCCTTTCTCTTTGGGTGGTTGGTGAATTTTAAGGGTTTTTAAATCAACAAAACTCTTTTCTCAAGGCCCTCAGAGGTGCCTGGATTTCAGGAGTTGCCCCTTTTTTTTTTTTTATTGGGTTGAACATTGGTGGTGGCCGAGCTGGAAAAGGTGGAAATTGGAAAAAGGGAAAATGGTGAGGTGGAAATTGGGAAAAGATTGGGAAAAGGGGAACTTGTGAGGTAAAAATTGGGAAAAGGAATCTGTGAGGTGAAAATTTAAAAATGGAAACCTGTGAGGTGGAAGTTGGGAAAAGATTGGGAAAAGGGGAACTTGTGAGGTGGAAATTGGAACATTGTAGGGTGGTGGCTGAGCTGGAAGAGGTGGAAATTGGAGAAAAGGGGAAATGGTGAGGTGAAAATTGGGTAAAGGGAATCTGAGGTGAAAATTTTAAAAATGGAATCCTGTGAAGTGGAAATTGGGAAAAGGGGAACTTGTGAGGTGGAAATTGGAAAAAAGGGGAATCTCTGAGGGGAAAATTTTAAAAATGGAAGCCTGTGAGGTGTGAATTGGGAAAAGGAGGGCCTGGGAGGTGGAAATTGGAAAAAAGGGAATCTGTGAGGTGAAAATTTAAAAATGGAAGCTTGTGAGGTAGAAATTGGGAAAAGATTGGGAAAAGGGAACTTGTGAGGTGGAAATTGGAAAAGGGGGAACTTGAGAGGTGGAAATGGAAAAAGAGGAGCCTGTGAGGTGGAAATTGAAAAAAAGGGGAATCTGTGAGGGGAAAATTTTAAAAAATGGAAGCTTTTGAGGTGTGAATTGGGAAAAGGAGGGCCTGGGAGGTGGAAATTGGAAAAAAATGCAATCTGTGAGGTAAAAATTTTTAAAAAATGGAAGCCTGTGAGGTAGAAATTGAGAAAACCTGAGCTGGTGAGGGGGAAATTGGGAAAAGAGGGAACTTGTGAGGTGGAAATTGGGCAAAGGTTGCAAAAGGGGAGTCTGTTAGGTGGAATTGGAAAAAAGGGAATCTGTGAGGTGAAAATTTTAAAATGGAAGCCTGTGAGGCAGAAATTGGGAAAAGAGAAGCCTGTGAGGGGGAAATTGGAAAAAGAAAGGACTAGTGAGGTGGAAAGTGGAAAAAAGGGAATCTGTGAGGTGAAAATTTTAAAAAATGGACACCTGTGAGGTGGGAATTGGGAAAAGGAGGGCCTATGAGAAAGAAATTGGAAAAGAGAAACTTTTGAGGTGGAATTGGAGAAAGGGGAACTTATGAGGTGGAAATTGGGAAAAACTGAGTTGGTGAGGGAGAAAGAAGGAGCTTGTGAGGTGGAAATTGGGGAAAGGTTGGGAAAAGGGGAGCCTGTGAGGGGAAAACTGGGGAAAGATGAGCCTGTGAGGTGGGAATTGGGAAAAGGGGAGCCTGTGATGTGGAAATTGAAAAAAAGGGAATCTGTGAGGGGAAAATTTTAAAATGGAGGCTTGTGAGGTGAAAACTGAGAAGAAGGGGACCTGTGAGGCAGAAATTTTCAGAACGAATGTCTGAGGGCAGTGAGGTGCCTGGGGCTTGGAGGTTGTTGGAGGGAAAACGAGGACAGTGCTGGATCTGGAGCTGCTCCTAAATGATTTTTCCTGTTTTTTTCCTCAGGACATTGACACTGCCATAGTTTCAGACACCACTGATGACCTGTGGTTCCTCAATGAGTGTCCCCTGACCAGGGCACTGCTGGGCTCAAGGTGGAAGTGTTGGACTGTGAGGAGGTCGCAGAGGTGACACCAAGTACCTCTGGCACAGTTTGTTCTTAATTCATCCCATGCTGCCCTTGGAAAAGCTGGATCTGTTCCCATCCAGAGGCTAAATCCTGTTTAGAAAAAGCTGTCACCGTTCCTCATGTGTTTGATGGTTTTCCTGCTTGGGTTTGGTTTAAATTCAATTTTTCAAGGCATAAAATCAATTGAAAATGAGTTAAACTTCTCGCAGCGACTTAAGTGGGTTTCTAACCAATATCTGCAAGAGTTATAAATCAAAAATCGTGGAATTAAGTTTGAAAAGGCTTTTAAAAATTGAGTCCAGCTAAAGACTCAAAGAGGAAAGTCTGATCATGGTAAACCAGCAAAAGTTACCAACATTATGCAAAAGAACCACTGCAAAAACCAGTTTTAATTCACTTTTAGAAGTGATTTAATGAGCAGGTGATGCTGTAATCCTTTATTTGGGAATTGCAGCACCAGGCAAATTATAAATAGGGAATATTCCAACATTCCCACCCTCTGACATGCTTTCCTAGGAATTCCAGGTGCCTGAGGATGTGTGCTTGGATGAGCTGGAGGATTCCCAGTGCCTGAGTGACGACACGGACACAGAGGCTGCTTCTGAGGTGGGAATTCCTTGGGATCACCTGGGGCTGGAAGGGCTCATCCCACCTCTGCTGCTGGTTTTGGGGTGGGAAAAGCTGATTTTCGTGTGGGTTTCCAAAAAGAAAAAGTGGCTGGGGTGAAGTTATGTTGATACCCAGGCATGGTTTAATAAGATTTTAATTCCATGTTGTCCTCTGGATGGAAATCTGGAGAATTGTCCTCAGAAGGACTTGGAAATCTCAAGTAGCACTTTATAGTCACTCAAACAAAGTCAGAATTGTAATGATTTTTAGCAGAATTTTAATGATTTTAGCAGAATTTTCCTGCCTGGAAAAAATGGGCATGTCCCTGGCTTTGGACAGCTGAGTCCTGGCTCTGCACTTGTGCACTTGTCCTGCCCTTTTCTGTGAGGTAATTAATTAATTAATCCATTAATTGTGCAGATTCAAAGCTGGTAAGTGATGAGTGAGCCTGGAAAATAAATCCTGTCATATTCCAGGAGCTCTCCCCTGAATTTTGAGCAAAATATTGAAAATTCTTTTGCAATTAAATAAAATTAACTGCCCCAACTTAGATTCTTCCAGAGGGCTGGGAGAGAGGAGGAGAGGAATTCATGAGGGACAGATCAGGGATTAATTATTCCCAAGCCACAAAATGTTGATTTTCCAGCTTATAAATCACTCATAAATAAAATTTTTTAACAAGACTTCCTTGCTGCTTTTCCCAAACAGTAAAATGAGGAATACCCAAAAATAAATTGATTTTTTGCTGGAATTTTTTCGCCTTAAATCCCTCAGGATTGCTGGCAGTGCTCCAAGTGCTCTCCCCTTGAATTTTGAGCAAAATCTGAAAATTCTTTTGAAATTAAATAAAAATTAACTGGCCCCAACTTAGATTCTTCCAGAGGGCTGGGAGAGAGGAAGGAGAGGAATTCATGAGGACAGATCTGGGATGAATCAATCCCAAGCCACAAAATGTTGATTTTCCAGCTTATAAATCACTCATAAATAAAAATTTTTAACGAGACTTCCTTGCTGCTTTTCCCACAACAGTAAAATGAGGAATACCCAAAAATAAATTGATTTTTGCTGGAATTTTTTCGCCTTAAATCCCTCAGGATTGCTGGCAGTGCTCCAAGTGCTCTCCCCTTGAATTTTGAGCAAAATCTTGAAAATTCTTTTGAAATTAAATAAAAGTTAACTGCCCCAACTTAGATTCTTCCAGAGGGCTGGAGAGAGGAAGGAGAGGAATTCATGAGGGACAGATCCGGGATGAATCAATCCCAAGCCACAAAATGTTGTAAATAAAATTTTTTAACAAGACTTCCTTTCTGCTTTTCCCACACGGCTGAAACAAGGAATACCCAAAAATAAATTGATTTTTTTGCTGAATTGTTTTGCCTTAAATCCCTCAGGATTGCTGGCAATGCTCCAAGTGCAGGAAATTCAACTCCCCGGGGAAAAGGTACTGCTTCCGCTGCTGGGCCCTGGCGCAAGGACTGGTACAGGGACTGCCCCAAACTGCCCCATTCCCTGTCCCTTTCCAACATCAATTCCATGGAAAACCAGGAGCAGGATGAGAGGATGGACGTCCCAGACTGCAGGAGACGATCTCAGCCCCGGCTGGCCAAGCCAAACACGTTTTCCTGGGAGAAACCAAACCCGCGTGGATCCGGGCGGCTCCACCGAGCGCTTGGATTTGGCGCAGGAGGGAAAAATCGGGATTTTGCCAAGCTGAAGAAAGAGGAGGAGGTGGAATCTTTGGAGAGCATCAAAACCCTGCTGAATCCCTGCTTCCTGTGCCAGCACAGGCCTCGGGATGGAATATTGTCCACGGGAGGACTGCTCACCTGGTGGCCTGCTTCAGGTGTGCCAGGATGCTGAAGAAGAAGAGATCGCCGTGTCCCGTGTGCAGGAAGGAGATCAAGATGGTCATCAGGATCTTCATGGGGTAGGGAGGATTTCTGCCCCCAAAGTAACCCCAAAATCTGGAATTTTTGCACTCAAATCCCAGTTTCAGTGTGTGCAGAAAGGAGGTCATGATGGTCATCAGGATCTTCATAAAGTAACCCCAAACTCTGGAATTTTTGCACTCAAATCCCAATTTCGGTGTGTGCAAAAAGGAGATCATGATGGTCATCAGGATCTTCTTAAAATAACCCCAAAATCTGGATTTTCGCACTCAAATCCCAATTTCAATGTGTGCAGAAAGGAGATCAAGATGGTCATCGGGATCTTCATGGGGTAGGGAGGATTTCTGCCCTTAAAGTAACCCCAAACTCTGGAATTTTTGCACTCAAATCCCAGTTTCAGTGTGTGCAGAAAGGAGGTCATGATGGTCATCAGGATCTTCATAAAATAACCCCAAAATCTGGAATTTTTGCACTCAAGCTCCCATTACAGCATGTGCGGAAAGGAGATCACAATGGTCATCAGAATCTTCATAAAATAACCCCAAAATCTGGATTTTTGCACTCAAATCCCAATTTCAGTGTGTGCAGAAAGGAGATCATGGTGGTCATCAGGATCTTCATAAAATAACCCCAAAATCTGGAATTTTTGCACTCAAACCTCCATTACAGTATGTGCATGAAGGAGATCAAGATGGTCATCAGGATCTTGATAAAATAACCCCAAAATCTGGAATTTTTGCACTCAAATCCCAGTTTCAGTGTGTGCAGAAAGCAGATCACGGTGGTCATCAGGATCTTCATAAAATAACCCCAGAATTTGGATTTTTGCACTCAAATCCCAATTTTGGTGTGTGCAGAAAGGAGATCAGGATGGTCATCAGGATCTTCATGGGGTAGGGAGGATTTCTGCCCCCAGAGTAACCCCAAACTCTGGAATTTTTGCACTCAAATCCCAGTTTCAGTGTGTGCAGAAAGGAGATCACGATGGTCATCAGGATCTTCATAAAATAACCCCAAAATCTGGAATTTTTGCACTCAGACCTCCATTACAGTATGTGCATGAAGGAGATCATGATGGTCATCAGGGTCTTCTTAAAATAACCCCAAAATTTGGATTTTTGCACTCAAATCCCAATTTTGGTTTGTGCAGAAAGGAGGAGATCAGGATGGCCATCGGGATCTTCATGGCCTAGCAGGACCTTCTAGGATTAAAATAACCCCAAAAATAGGTTTTTTTGCACAAAAACCCCAATTCCAGAGTTTGGTGTGCAGGATCAAGATGGCCATCAGGATCTTTATGGGACAGCAGGACCTTGTGCACCTAAAATAACCCCAAAATGAAGATTTTTGCACTCAAACCCCAATTCCAGCGCTCAGCCACTGAAACCAAAGAGTACCAAGATTTAATCCCACCGAGAATCCTCTTCAGGATCCGCTTTTCCATGGAATTCACCTCGAGATCAAAACCCCAGCTTGGAAATTTTCCCAATTTCCCACTGGGATTCTTTCTCCTGACCAAGAACAGCAGATTTGGGAAAAAGTGAAACCTTTGGAATGTTTTTTTTTTTTCCATAAATCCCGATTTGTGCAATTCCTTTGGAACTGAGAGTTAAAAACAGAAATAAATATTTATGGTGGGTGGCCAGGGGATTTGTTTTGGAGAGCAGAAGAAGAACTTTATTCCTAATTTTTTTATTATTTAAGGTCGGCAGGGTGAAGAATTCCTTGCTTCCAGACGGGAAATAAATCTGTGTTTATAATCCACACCTCTCAGGTCACAAATGAGATGTAATAATAATAATAATAATAATGTTATATTTTTCTTTTTGGGCTCCTTAATTTCTATTTCTTCTCTTTTTTGTGTATTTAAATCTATTCTGTGTCACCTCTGTCCAGCAGGATTCAATTCCAGCAGCTCTGGGATATTTTGGGATGTTCCACCTGCCCTCGCCCATCCTTTAGGCTAAAACAATCCTCATTTTTGAGTGATTTGAAAACTGGCTTAAAAATTAAACACATTGTTTTGAGGGATAGAATAATTCCTTTAAAGCCCCATTTGCACTTTTTCAGGCAGATCTTTTCCCCCTTTCCAGGCAGACTTTTCCCCCTTTCCAAGCAATTTTTTCCCATTTCCAGGCAAAATTTTTCCCTCTTTTCAGGCAGATGTTTCCCCTTTTCAAATACATTTCTTTTCCTCTTTCCAGGCAGAGATTTTTCCCTCTTTTCAGACAGATTTTTCCCCCTTTCCAGGCAGACTTTTCCCCCTTTTTAGGAATTCTTTTCCCCTTTCCAGGCAGACTTTTCCCCTTTTTAGGATTTTTTTTCCCCCCTTTCCAGGCAGACTTTTCCCCCTTTTTAGGAATTCTTTTCCCCTTTCCAGGCAGACTTTTCCCCCTTTTTAGGATTTTTTTTTCCCCCCTTTCCAGGCAGACTTTTCCCCCTTTTTAGGAATTTTTTTTCCCCTTTCCAGGCAGACTTTTCCCCCTTTTTAGGAATTTTTTTTCCCCTTTCCAGGCAGATTTTTCCCCTTTTTGGGAATTTTTTTCCCCCTTTCCAGGCAGACTTTTCCCCTTCCAATGTCTGCGAAATCCCTCAGGAATGGCAGCAGTAAATCCTCTGGATGTGAACCTTTGTTCTCCAGCCCGTTCCCAATCCCATTTCCTGACATTCCCATGGGATCACGCACCCCACCCCGTCCCTGTGACAATTCCCAGTGGGGTTTTTCTCCCTTTTCCAGCTGTTTTTTGGGATCAGCGATCCCGGGGAAGGCAGAGCTCACTAGAGGGCACCCACGCCCAGCTCCTGCTGCTCTCCCTCCTTCCAGGATCCGCATTCCCGGCTGGAAAAGGAGCTCAGGGACACCTTCCCATGGCTGGGGGTTGGTTCTCCTGATTTCCCAAACCCACAAATCCAAGTTTTCCCCCAAATCCCTGTGATGCCTCCTGGACCCCTCCAAGTGCATCTCAACATTCCCAGTTTTTGTTCCTTCTTCCTCCCCTCTTTTCTTCCTGTTTTTCTTTATTTTGTTTTCCTGGTTTTCCCCTTTATCCACAGAAGTTTTGGGATCTTGTGGGATCCAGGATCCCTCCAGCCCCACAGGGAAGCGTCACCATCACCATTTCCCATTCTTCCATCCCAAATCCTCCCCTCCCCTGCTTCCCCCCAGGTGACAGCAGTGACAGAGCAGGGGGTGACACTTGGTTTGATGATCCAAACACTCCAAAAAACCCCAAAAATAACCCCAAACCCCACACGGATCCCAAAGGAAAAAAACTTTTTTGTTTTAGGGCTTTTTAGGTTTTTCTTTGTATTTCCAAAGCAGGGACTGTCCAGCGAGGGAGGTGACACTGGGGTTGCTTTGTTTGATGATCCCAAGGCTCCAAAAAACCCCAATAAAGAAACCCCAGACCCCACACAGATCCCAAAGGAAGAAACTTCTTTCTTTTAGGGGTTTTTAGGGTTTTTCTGTATTTCCAAAGCAGGGGACTGTCCAGCGAGGGAGGTGACACCTCTGGGGTGTCCCTGGTGCCAGGGGGACGCAGGTTTGGGGTTCCTTTTATGGCTCTTCACCCACTCGGGGCATCGTCCCCCACAGCGTTCTCCATCCCCTCCCATCTTTGTTTGGGATCCACGGCCAAATCCAGCCCCTCCACACGAATCCAGGACCACCAGAGGCTCCTCTCCCATGGACCCTGAGGCTCCTCAAGGTCATGTCCAGAAAATCCAATTTTTTCCCAGCACCTGTCCTTTTTTTTTTTTGGTAAAAAACCCTTTCCCCCCCTCCCCCACCCACCCCAAAACCCCACCGAACCCCCCCAAAATCCATCCTCCCTCAGCACTCCAGGGGCGCCGCCTGCACCTCCACGGCCAGGAGGTGTCCCCGGGGCTGCACGGGATAAACCACGCGCACCGGCCCCAGCGCCACGGAGCGATTCCCGCCGCCATCCGCCCGCTCGCCGCCACCGCCAGGAGCAGCAGGCACAGCAGCAGCGCCGTCACCAGCGTCCCCTGTCCCCACGGCATGCCCTGCCTGGCCTCTTTAGTCCTGGCGCGCACACAGGCCACCCTGAGCGGCGACGCCACCAAGGTGACGTGCAGACACGCCCGGTACTCGGTGTCGGGGCGCAGCCGGGTGATGTTGAAGCTGTGGGTGCCCGCCGGGATCCGCGCCGAGCCCCGGCGCCGCGCCCGGCGCCGAGCTGGCCCAGGTGAGGTTGGAGGAGACGGCGTTGAGGCACGGCCGCCAGGCCAGCAGGACGTGGTGGGGCTGGACGTCCACCCACCAGCAGCTCCGGCTCGGCCTGGCCCAGCGGGAAGGAGCGGTTGACCAGCACGCGGACGCCGCGGGTGTCGGCGCCCAGCAGGTTGTGAGCCACGCACGTGTAGAGCCCGGCCTCGCGCGCCGCGATGCCGCGGATCTCCAGCGTCCCCTCCGCGTGCACCTTGAACTTCCCGTCGTCCCCGAACGGCAGCAGCTTCGCCCCGGCCGGCGTCACCCAGTAAATCTCCGGCTCCGGCTCCGCCAGCGCCCGGCAGTGCAGGGCCACGTTGTCACCCACCTGGGCGTCCAGGCGCGCCGGGAGGCTGCGGGCGGAGATGAGCGGCAGGCACTGCTCCGTCATCTCCCGGAACGGGACGTCGCGGATGTGGCGGCGCTGGAGGTCGGGGGGCTCGGCGCAGAGCGTGGGACTGCGGCTCGATGAAGCGCACGCGGGGCCGGGTGCTGTTGACCCAGCGGATGACGCAGTCGCAGCGCAGCGGGTTGCCGTGGATGCTGATCTCCTGCAGGTTGGGCAGCGACTCCACCGTCTGCCGGTGCAAGGCACTTAGGGCGTTGTTGTTGAGCATCAGCGTCTCCAGCTGCGGAAGGTGCTGGAAGGCCTTGGGGTGGATGAAGGACAGCTTGGGGTTGTTGGTGACGTCCAGCTTGGTCAGCTCGGGGAGGTTGATGAGGGCGAACTGGTCGATGGACACCAGCTCGTCCATGTTGTTGAGGCCCAGCTCCTTGAGGTGCAGCATGTTGGTGAAGTCGCTCTGCTTGACCCTCTGCAGCGGGTTCTTGTTCAGATCCAGGAATTTCAGGCCGGGCACCTGCTGCAGAGCCCTCTTGGGGACATCTGCCAGCTTGTTGTCGTAGAAGGACAGGCTCTCCAGGCTCCTCAGCCCTTCCAGGGCGTAATCCGAGATCTCCCGCAGCTGCATCCCCGCCAGCACCAAACTCCTCAGGTTGCCCAGGGGCCGGAAATTCATGTCGAGGATGGCGTCCACCTTGTTCCCCCCCGACCATGAGGATCTCCAGGCTGGGCAGCATCTGGAACCAGCGGCTGTCCAGCGTCCTCAGCAGGTTGGAGTTGAGGTGGAGCCGCAGGAGGCTGCCCAGGCCGGCGAAGGCGCGGGGGGCGATGCTGCGGAGCCGGTTGTGGTTCAGGTAGAGCTCCTGAAGGTTCCCCAAGCCCGGGAAGCTGCTGTCGGGCAGATCAGAGAGCTGATTCTCCTCCAGGTGCAGGCTGAGCAGCTGGGGCATGTTCCTGAGCCCGAAATCCCAGACGTCAGAGAAGCTGTTCTGCGACAGATCCAGCTCGGACAGGTTCCGCAGGTAGCCCAGCTCGCCCTGCTCCAGCCTGGCGATGTTGTTGCTCTGCAGCAGCAGGGTCTGCGTGCCCCTCGGGCAGCTCCGGGGGCACCGAGGTGATGAAGAGGTCGTTGCAGTCCACCGTGGCCGCCTCGCGGTAGGCGGAGCGGGGCGTGTACCAGGGCCGGATCTGGCACACGCAGCGCGGGGGACACGCCACCCGCCAGGGCACCGTGGGCATGGCGCTGGCGGCCACCACGCACAGCAGGAGGCAGCTGGGCTGGAGGCCTCTCATTTTGGGGCTGCTGAAGGTCACAGGGAGCATCCAGAGCTGGCCACGGGGGGGGTGACAGCGGTGGCGGCGAGGTGGGGACGGCGCCCGTGGGGGGAGATGCTCCATGCGAGCCCCTGGAAGGGTCGGCCCCTGCTGGTGCCCCCCGAAATGGGAGCTCAGAGTGCTGGGGGCGCCTCAGTCAGAGATGGGCCCTCTTCTTCCTCCCCAAAGGAGTTGTTCCCGTGCTCGGCTGCATCTTCTGGGCTCCTCCTCGAGGTCATTCCTGGGAAAACAGCAAAGGTGGGTTAGAGGAGGATTTGGGCTCGTGGGGAGCAAGGGGCAGGGACAGGGGACAGGTTGGGGAGGTAAAAACCTGAGGATGGCACCACCAGGACCCCCAGTGCCTTCAAAACTGCCCAGCAAATCCATGAATTCAATTTTATATCCATGGCACTCAGTGTGCCCTCCCATCCTAGAGAATCTGGGTGGAGTTATCCCATGGAATCTGCCCAGGACCCCTCCAAACAAATCCATGAATTCTGCTTTATATCCATGATTGAACTGTGTCCTCCCATCCCAGAGAATCTGCGTGGAATTATCCCATAGAATCTTCCCAAATCAAATCCATGGATTCCATTTTATATCCATGGCATTCACTGTGCCCTCCCATCCCAGAGAATCTGGGTGGAATTATCCTGTAGGATCTGCCCAGGACCCTCCAAACAAATCCATGAGTTCCGCTTTATATCCATGATTGAACTGTGTCCTCCCATCCCACAGGATCTGGGTGGAATTATCCCATGGAATCTTCCCAGAATTCCCGAAACAACTCCATTAATTTCATTTTATATCCATGGCATTTTCTGTGCCCTCTCATCCCAGAGAATCTGGTGGAATTATCCCATGGAATCTGCCCAGGACCCTCCAAACAAATCCATGAATTCTGCTTTATATCCATGATTGAACTGTGT